TGTCAGAAACATTAGTTTTACTCAGTCAACTGGCGTACAAATTATAAAAAAATAAACGCGAATTATTTACCTATATTTACACCTCGAATTCGAAGTGGCGCTTCATACAATAATTATCGATTAATTATTTGCCAACATTAATTAATTATGTACGCCAACAGACGTGTATTTTTCTAGTTAATTTTATTTTTGCACATTTAAATTTAATAGATAATAATTTAGTGAACATGTAGAAAAGCGGATTACATTTTCTAAAAATAAAGGATAAATTCATTGCATTTGGTTTCATATTGTTGTGACTTGAAGCCAGTTTTCGACTTTGTTTCTCTAGACTCTCGCACCCGTTACTAAAAGAAGCTGAGTGGCGTCACACACAAAAGGTAAATTTCGACTCCATGTTCATGTAGAACAACTTTTTGTATTCGTATTTGTACTGAATGTTTATGTAGATGGTTGTCTCGTTATATGATACTAGCTATATATGGGATCGGAGGGCCATATCGTTCTTAGTATAATAAGAGACCTGGGCTGATATGTCCGGATTCGTGAAATCCTATGACTTTGTGTTGTACTAACGTAAAATATATCAGTGCAATTTGTATATTGATATATCGGTTATATAGCTGGTATTCCACGAGTAATACTACAATATCTAATTTAGTGAAAAAATAATTAAATATGTGGATATTGGCGTTGTTTTGTGACAGTCAGCCACGCTATATGCTTACATGAACCAATCAAATGAACAGGATTGTTAACTTAGTATGACGATATAGACAATTATTTCCCTACATTATATACACAACTGCTATTAGACAATTGGATACATTGCGTATATTACATTTGACGTCATTGAATAATTAAAAGCCTGAAGGAAATATACATGATGAAAACATTGTGTAAACTCGTTCATACAATGCCTTCTTTGATGGGAGTATGGCGATACTGCTAACAGCTAATCTTTTATCATTTTTATCACCACAATCAAATAGGTCACTTTGTCAATGTCAAAACTTGACAAAAAATAAAGTACAATAGGTACAATAATAACCCCGAACGAGTGTTTCTGTAAATTGGCTGCCCTTACACATGTAGACATTGCATCATTTTAATTGACGAACAATATAATGTTGAACATATCGTAGTGAAAGATTATTGAATATTATATATCTAGCTACATCCGTCCTGATAACAACACACGCTAAAAATGCAAAAGCTCATGGGTAGGCGCTTGTTTGGAAACATATACACGCTATGGCCTTCTGACGCATGGGCAGGTGACGACTCCCCGGCTTTAACACAGTATCTAACGTTATATTTTATCCATACAACCGCATCACAACAAGTTACCTAATTGTTCATTTACCAAACAACCGCGTCAAATGCGGGCATCGTTGTGTTTTAAAGTGGGAATTCTGCCAAAGTGTAATGGTAGGAGGAGTAATCATGAGCTGTCGCATATGAACCATGAGTAGCTACTACAATATGAGTGTGTCTACGAACATGTAACCTATCAGTGTCTACGAACACGCAAAACAACATATCAGTGTTTTACTAATATACAACACAATATATCAGTGTGTCTAATAATATACAACATAATATATCAGTGTGTATACTAACACAAAACATAATATTCAGTATGTCTACTAACACACAAGACAATATATCAGTGTGTATACTAACAAACAATAAAATATATCAGTGTGTATACTAACAAACAATAAAATATATCAGTGTGTATACTAACAAACAATAAAATATATCAGTGTGTATACTAACAAACAATAAAATATATCAGTGTGTATACTAACAAACAATAAAATATATCAGTGTGTATACTAACAAACAATAAAATATATCAGTGTGTATACTAACAAACAATAAAATATATCAGTATGTCTACTAACACACAACACAATATATCAGTGTGTATACTAACAAACAATAAAATATATCAGTGTGTATACTAACAAACAATAAAATATAACAGTGTGTCTACTAACAAACAATAAAATATATCAGTGGGTATACTAACACACAACTCAATATATCAGTGTGTCTACAAGCACTGTGTAACTAGCATGAGTATTTTAATGTACCACACAATATACACGTGTGCCTGCTATGATACAACACAATGGAACACACTTTACTGTATTCGGAATATCATAGGTTGGTACCGATTTGCTGAAATAATATTATAGGCGTGTAAAAAATAAAAAAAAAGTGTAATATTTTTCACACTGGGGAAGCGGAACGCAACTATGGTATGTGAATGACGTCGTATTGATTTTCATGTAATCAGAAGACTTTATTATTTTTTTTATCTATATGTATGTCACTCACCACCACCACTACTACAACTAACATACTCAAATAATGCAACTTTATTCACAGTTATACCTTCCCATTTTTGGGCTTTACACAAAGCTGATTTTAGTGTATACTAATTTAACTATTTGTGAACGACAACAAATTGGGAAACTCAGCATACGTATATCCTATATATTTTTAAATATTTTCCCTGTTTTTTTTCCATATAACTCGTATAGATGGCGGACGTTGAATCAATGAGTGTCATTAAAGATTTTGGACGATTCCAGAAGATCCAATTTTTTTTATTCTGTCTTGGAATCTTTCCGCATCCATTTTTCAGTATTGGAAACACATTTTACAGTGCATCCGTTGAGCATTACTGCCGTGTGACTGATAACCAAACATATTATATAAACTCACAGCTGAAGAATTGTACTATACCTCGTCACTATGTAAATGGTAGGTTGGAATGGGATTCTTGTAGAATGTATGCTACAGATTTCAGAAATAAAAGTGTACCACCAAACAATAATGGGTTATCACATACATGCCAACCATCCAACGGTACACATATGTGTGATCGAGGCTGGGTTTACGATAGACAATACCTGCACAGCACTGTTGTCACAGAGGTAAGAAGTAATACACGCCAAATAATGTAACCACTTAGAGTGTGAATTTTATTATTCATAGTTTATTTTTTATTTGTATATCGTGAATGAATGTACCCAGTATTGACACTAGCTAAATATACGAATAGGTCGTTCAGATGGCTGGTGACAAAGAACGGCAGTAAGTCTGTCATGAAAGCCCTCGTTATTATAATTGTTCATTAAACTTTGTTTCTTCTTAAAGCGGGGAAGTAGCAACCTGCACATGCGTCTTTGCGTTTTAGAGTCGTTTGGGACTCGATTCCCGCGCATGCGCAGGTGACGCCCCCTGCTTTAACTATCCCTTTATTATTCAGAAAATTTCCTCTAGCCTTGTTAGAAATATCCCTCTATACTGACGAAGTCTATAATTTGCTGGATATTCAATCCATACATTTGCACTGTTTTTAATGACTTGGTAGATGTGGGGAAAATCAGAAAGTCTAAATACTAGACAAATGTTCCCATGTAAACATCTCTTTTTACTAAGGTTTAAATTAGATCATCACGCCATTTCACAGACGTTCGAGGTAAGTTGGTGTATATATTGCCTGAATCATATTGCACATTTATAATACTATATTGTTTATTTTCAGTTTGATTTGGTTTGTAAAAATGATTATATGAAACAACTATCAAAGTCTCTAAGCGCTCTCGGAGAACTTATTGGTAGCCTATTATTTGGGCAGTTTGCTGACGTGTAAGTTCATGTATAGGCTTACGCAATGAAAACACACAATTTGGGAAAGGAACATAATATGCATGTATTTTTAAATCAAATATGAATATCTTCTAATAATTGCTTATATGCGACGGATGTCATGGTATTAGGTAAAGAAATCGTCTGTGTTTTGTGTCTGATATTTCATATGGATATTGAGGATCCATTCCGCTAGCATTTCCTTTAAAATCCCTTTTGTGTATCTGTGTGATTTCCAATTTTTTCATGTATTAATTATTCTCTGCTATTTTGGCAGGCAGGACACACCTTAACTATAGTTAGGTGGTAAAATCTGAAAGAAATTCCTGGTCAACCTTTACCATGGCAACAGCCCAAAAAAAAGATTTTTGAATAGTTTCACCCGTAACGGCTTTCAACTCTTCTGTAATATTTTAGATCGGGCCGATTTTGTTCATATCTTGCAGGCAGGTAACACCGTCACTCTAGTTGGATGGTAAAATCGGAAAAAAAAATCCTGGCCCACCGTTACCATGGCTACAAAAAAAATACAAAAAAAGATTTTTGAATACTTTTGCCCCAAATATATTACCAGTGTTGTAATAGAAATGTTCAAATGATCATGCTTTATATTTTGGCTAAGTTGCGCACCAACGAGAGAGTGAACTGTAAATAACACTAAATGTAGTGTAATTATGAAAAATACGTGCTAGTAATAAAGTGAAGTGACTTCTGAAGTGACTTTGTATACGGGGCTCCGGTTTCAGTCATAAATCGACGTTAGCTTTACGCTCATATTCTACCATAGCGACAGCCAAAAACATTTTTTTTGAGCGGAGCGGATCGCTAGCTAACCTAATGGCTTTTTCACTTGTATGTTTATAATCATTTACTGTTAACTACAGGTACGGCAGGAAACCAGCAGTGCATATTGCAAGCACCTGTTCCCTTATATTCGGAATTGCGACAGCTTTTGTCCCGTCATTCTCAACGTTTCTTATAGGAACATTTTTATCAGCAATGTCAGCGTCAGCATTTTATTTAGTATTGTATGTTCTAGGTCAGTATCGATTTTATCAACTTTAAAGAGGGAGGGTCGTCACCTGCGCACGCGCGGGAATTGAGTATCAAGCGACAATAACAACACACGCTAATGACGCAAAGCCTCATGGGCAGACGCTTGTTTATAAACAATGACACGCTATGGCCATCTGACGCATACGCAGGTGACGACACCCCCAACATTAACATTATCAAAAGTATTAAACAACACTTTATAAACAAAATATAATAACGACTGCTGCTCTTGTTACTAAACATAACTGTATATGTTCTGTTATAAGGGAAAATATTTAAATTGTGTATAACATAACCCGGAGCAAATATATTTAGCAAATCTGGCCACACAATAATTTGAAAATTTATCCAACATATTCAAAATAAACATAAAATTATTGATGAATAATATATCGCCACTTAACCGTGTAGACCGAATTTACTGCTTATTAATCAATAAACTATGGTGTATCTTTGCTGTTCACCGGAATATAACAACTCGTAAAATATTCTTCATTGATAGACCCCAACAAATTAGAAAAAAACAACATTTCTTTAACTCAGTTAACCTTGATAAAAACAGTTTCAAGAATTAGCTTAGACACAACCACTTCACATGAGCATGTTAAATTTGCATGTTTGCTTGGGATATTTGGAATATCGGGATAATAGGAACATATTTGTCTAGCTATGTGACTTGAAAATGTCAAAAACAGAGAGTGCGTATACATTGTAGTTACGCATATATAAGTCCATGTTCTATATTTACTCTCTGAAAACCCCTTTAATAGACCATTTTCCGTTCACTGCGAGAATCACGCGTTATGCGTGAAATCGAACGTAAAAACAGGACAAACAAAGGTCATAGCGTCGTAGTCGCGTCAAACATCGCGTGGGATTCGACAAACGCGAAAGTATTTCGGGGACATTTCCAAGCTTAATAATGTGCTGTCCACATTTAATGATAGGTAATTTCGGTTAAGTAAGGTCATTCGGAAGCAATATTCCTCTGTCGAAGATCGGCCGGTCAATGTAAGCTGCGAAATAAAGAAATTCTAGTTCAAAATCAAATCGTTCGATTTTTGCGGCAGACGTTCGACGCGCGTCTTTCATGCATCTCGCGAGATCTCGCAGTTGTACGGAAAATCACCTATTGAAGCCTACAATTTGAAATGTAATCATAAGTAATTCATCTACACTGAGGAAACGCCACTATTATTAATTAAAATTGCTAAAGCTTGTCGACTAACATATACAATTATCTGTATGTATAGTTAGTTAACAAAAATGAAGATTTTAAAAAAAACATATCTTTCTAACGAGCAGTCTTACAACTGTGGGATATGTATTGACATTCTTATACATTTTTTTTATAGAAAGTCGTTTGTGAGCTCAAATGAACTATTTGATTATGAATTGTTATAACGCACACATAATATTTTTCACACTTAGCGATGGAAGCTACACCATCATCACGAAGACCATTCGTTGCCACAGGATGTTCACTGTCTTATGGTGCAGGGTATTTGTTCCTTGGAATAACAGCATATATAGTGCAAGGAAACTGGAGAGTACTTCAACTAATAAATGGTTTATTATGTTTGCTGTACATACCGTATTTCTGGTAGGCTACAGATTCATATCAAACAATTGAATAATATATATAGGGGAATAATGTAAATGTTCTTTTTTGAATGAATATGTGTAATAGAACGCAGTTGTAGAAAAGGCTGAGTATGTCAGTAAAGTTACGTCACAGAACATTGATTCCAGAAAGCGACTAAACCAATAATCGCCTGTGATGTAATTACCTGTCTACCTCCACCAAAGCTTAATAATTTCGCAGGTTTCTGGAAGAATCAGTAAGATGGCTTTTGCAGGGTGGTGAACATAAAAAAGTGAAATGTATTTTAAATAGAGCTGCTATGATGAATGGGGAGACAATAAACGAAGACTTGGATGATTTTGCTTTCGAGGGTTCAGCAGCAGAGGTACGTAAATATCTGTACATGGTAGAATAAATTTATAATATGACCTTTTCTATGGATATTTGCACATTTATATTGTTTATTAAAATCACTGTACTGTGTGTATTATCACCACATAAAATGTAACGATAGAGCAATTTATTTGGCACATCAGTTGTTCTTCCCTGATCTTGTTCTGTAACAAAATTGATATTTTGGGCCGCTCTCTTCTTTGCACTGGGAATGTCTGGAATGTGAATAAACAAGCAGTGATACCTAAATCAATTCATCCAAGCAAGCTATAATTAACAATCACCTCATTATTTGGTATTACCATTAGCCCCAACCTATCTACTATAATTAATTAATACACGGCCCAATAACAAGTCATTTATGGTTGCTTCAACTTTCACCTCACATTTAGCCTATACAATTCCCATACACCAATGCTCTTGGTCAGCCAGTGCTTCCCTAGCAAATTGCATTGCTAGTATTCCCTGTCCAGACTTCCTGAGAACTGAAGGCATGTACACTTATACTTTCATGACTATATAGAAGTAAAACTAGGCTCTTTTCCTAACCGAGTTGTACATTGCTGTAGGACGCAAACAAAAAGGCTAATGATCGGTCCCTTGTTGGATTATTGGGAGTTGTCAATGCGCTCTCCAAAAATATAAGAAACAAATGTCCGAACATGAACTTGACACTTTATTCCTTTCCACCACTGAGAAACGATTGACTGAAAGGTATACAGAGAAATAAAGCTCATAAGTAAACAATACATTTCACTAGCTGTGGAATCATAGCCCTATGTTGCCGACCGCATTATTTACGTGACTGACTCTGGCCGGCCCATAGGGCTATGGGGCCTTGTGCGACTGAATACCGGTTAAAATCCACATGCCAAATTTGGTCGTCGCGAAAATCACATTTTAAGACGTTCAAAAGTACTCACTATGTTTATTTACTTCCAAACAATGACCAGAACCTATTTGCGCTGTGAAATGATGACGGTGGTCATAAAAAATTGACTTTATTTACCGTACACCGAGTCGCAGAAAAATAACAAGACGAAAGACGCCATTTTGTATTCCAGAGTTTATAGCAAATTACGCGAGACCTATAATTTTGTACCACGTGACCGAAATCAGTAGATAAATTGCGTTTATGCAACTAGTTTCCATTATTAAACAAAAATCATACAATTATAAATACTGTATGTGATTGCTTTCTTGGAACAATTAGAATAACGGGAAGAGTGAGTTTTATTCTTCCACCACTGTATCACATGACCGCCAAACGAGATTACATTTATTCTGTGCTAGGGAGTGTGGGATGTCAATGGCTGCCGTTTTCTCGTAATTTGCTTGGTTTCCGCGGTAATTGTAAAATATCACAAATTATTGCTTATTTATAAACACAAATTGCAAACAAAAGT